ACCAAGAGGCTGCTTCCATAACCAAAGATTAAGCCCTGTTTTTTTTTTTAAAGTGACTTACTTCAGAACAATGACATTTAAGAGGAAGCCTTTATCCGACAAATAAGAATATATTCTGTTAGTGGATACACTTTCATTGTTAGCAAGAGGAAGGAGGGTGGTTTGGAAGAAATTTGATACCAATTGGAATTAATTTCATTCACCTTAGTTGTTTTAATTTATTCCATAGGTGGAATGATCCAAAGAATGAGAGAGAGAGAGAGAGAGAGAGAGAGAGAGAGAGAGAGAGAAGTATTTATTTTCTTTAAAGATTTATTGATACCTTTTTTCCTTTAGCAACATACTCATTTCTCAATTAACCACACTCCCCCCCCCCTTAACTGTTCCTTGTAACAAGGCACAGTTTCCTTAGTTAAGGAAAACCTACTAACAAAACAACCATGTCTGGCAGAATATGCAACATTCCACTCCCTGAGTACCTTCCATAGTCCTTCTCAATGGAATATGTTTCAGTATCTGTTCTCAAGAAACAAGGTTGGTCATTGCAATTTATCTGAGTTGGATCGTCTTTTATTGTTGTTTTCATTCACATTATTTTAGTCATTATATATATTATCTGTCCAGTTCTGTTTAATTCATTCTATATTAATTCACACTATATCAGTTCATACAAGTCTTCCTATATTTCTCTGAATTCTTTAAATTTGTGGTTATAGTGATATAGTAGTCCATTACATTCATGCTCCAAATTTCTGCATCCATTCCTCCACTGATAGACAACCTTTTTGTTTATAGTTTTGTTTTGTGAGGGGATGCATATTGTACTACCACAAAAAAAGTGCTTCTGTGGATATTTTGGTACATATGTGACTTTTCTTTCTCTCATTGACTTCTTTGGAATGTATGCCCAAGTAGATGAGTCAAAGGGTATGGACAGTTTCATTGCTCTATTCCAAATCTCTTTTTTAACAAACAGTTTTGTTTTTATTATTTATTTATTTTAAACATTCTTTTCTTTTTAAATTTTGAGTTCCAAATTCCTTCTCTTTCCCCCCATCCCCTCTTAAACTCACTGAGATGGCAAGCAAAAAAATATAATTGATAGAAATTAAGCATGTGAAATCATGCAAAACATGTTTCTATATTAACTATATTTCAAAAAAGCAAGAAGAATAAAGAAGGTGAGAAAAATTATGCTTCAATTTACACTCAGAGTTCATCAGTTCTCTCTCCGGAGGTGGATTTTTTTTTCCTTAATGAGTCTTTTGAAATTGTCTTGAATCATTGTATTGATCACAGTAGTCAAGTCTTTCACAGTTGATTGTCATCACAACATTGTTGTTACTGTATACAATTATCTCCTGGTTCTTCTCACTTCTCTTTGCATCAGTTCATATAGGTCTTGTCATGTTTCCCTGAAATCATCCCTCTTGTCATTTCTCACAGCACAACAATACTCCATCACAATCACATGCCATAACTCATTCAGCTATTCCTCAATTGTTGAATATCCCCTTGATTTCCAACTCTTTGCCACCACAAAAAAGAGCTGCTATAAATATTTTTATACATGTGGGTCTTTTACCTTTTTCTTTGATCTCTTTGGGCTACAGAGATAGCAGTGGTATTGCTGGGTCAAAGGGTATGTACAGTTTTATAATCCTTTGGGCATAGTTCCAAATTCTTCTCCAGAATTGTTGGACCAGTTCACCATTGCACCAACAGTTCATTAGTGTACCTATTTTTCCCTCATTTCCTTTTAGCAAAATGTATTTTCCCTGATTATCTCTTTTAATTAGATCTATTTTTGTTTTTGGTTTGTCTGAGACCATTATTGCTACCACTGTTTTTTTTTTTAAATTTCTGATGATGTGTAATAGATTCTGCTCCAGCCCTTTATTTTAATTGTGTGTGTGTGTCTTTCTGTTTCAAGTGAGGTTCTTGCAGACAACATATTGGGTTTATAATCTGGTTTATAATCCATTCTGCTATACTCTTCCATTTTATGGGTAAGTTCATCCCATTCACACTCACAATTACAATTACTGTGTGTTTCCCTCCACCCCATTTTCTTCTGTTTCTTCCTCTTTGTGTATATCTTTTATCCTGTCCCTCCTCAAAAGTCTGTTTTTCTTCTAACTACTGCCTCTCTTAGTTTCTTTTTTATCATCCTCCTTCTTTCTCTAATTCCCTTCCCTTCCTATTTCACTATTGGATAAATTACATTTCTATACACAATTGAGTGTGTGGGGTGTGTGTGTGCGTGTGTGTGTATTTTCCCCTCTTTGAACCAATTCTGATGAGAGTGAGGTTCTAGCATTGCCTTCTACCTCTCCCTATTTTTCCCCTCCACTATAAAAGGTCTTCCATGAACACCTCCTTTATGTGAGAAAATGTTCCCATTCTACCCTTCTCTTCCCCTTTTCCCCAGTACATCCCTCTTTCTCACCCTTTCACTTTTTTGGGAGATTATTCCAGCATAATCAACTCACATCCATGCTTTCTGTCTACGTGAACTCCTTTTAGCTGCCCTTATAATGATAAAGTTCTTAGGAGTTACATGTATCGCTTTTCCATATAGGGATGTAAACAGTTTGACTTTATTGAGGATCTTATGATTACTCTTTTATGTTTACCTTTCTATGCTTCTCTTGAGTCTTGTGTTTGAATGTTCAGTTTTCTATTCAGTCCTGTTCTTTTCATCAGGAATTCTCAAAAGTCCTCTATTTCATTAAATATCCATCCCCCCCCCAAAAAAAAGAATTATACTCAGTTTACCTGAGTAGGTTATTCTTGATTATAATCCTCCATCCTTTGCCTTCCAGAATATTCAGTATTCAAGTCTTTGGATCGTTTAATGTGGGAGCTGCTAAATCTTGTGTGATCCTGACTGTGGCTCCACAATATTTTAATTGTTTCTTTCTGGCTACTTGGACTTTTTTATCTTTGACCTGGGAGATTTGGAATTTGGTGTAATATTCCTGGGAGTTTTCATATTGGGATCTCTTTTAGAAGGTGATCAGTGGATACTTTCAGTGTCTTTTCTCTCTGGATCTAAGATATAGGGGCAATTTTCCTTGATCATTTCTTTAAATATGATGTCTAGGGTCTTTCTTTGATCTTGATAATGACCTTCAAGTAGTCCAATAATTCTTTTTTTTTTGGCTTTTTTTTGGGTGAGGCAATCGGGGTTAAGTGACTTGCCCAGGGTCATGCAGCTAGTTAAGTGTCAAGTGTCTGAGGCTGAATTTGAACTCCAGTCCTCCTGATTCCAAGGCTGGAGATCTATCCACTGCACCACCTAGTTGCCCTGTATTCCAATAATTCTTAGATGATCTCTCCTTGATATATTTTCCAGGTTATCTGTTTTTCTCATGAGATATTTCACATTTTCTTCTGTTGTTTTTTTTTTGTTTTGTTTTCTTTTGTTTTTGTTGTTTCTTGATTTCTCACAGAGTCATTAGCTTCTACTTGCCCAATTCTAATTTTTAAGGAATTATTTTCTTCACTGAGATTGTACTTCTTTTTCTATTTTGCCAGTTCTGTTTTTAAGGGGCTCTTTTCTTTAGTGAATTTTTGTGCCTTTTTTACCATTAGGCCAATTCTGTTTTTTTAAGGAGTTCTTTTCTTTAGTATTTTTGTGCCTCTTTTTTTAACCAAGCTGTTAATTCCCTTTTCATAATTTTCTTGCATCACTCTCATTTCTTTTCCTGATGTTTTTTCTACTATTCTTATCTTTCTTTAACTCTTTCAGGAATTTCTTATTGAGTTTGAATCCAATTAGCATTTTTCTTTGAGGCTTTGTTTGTAGCTGTTTTCACATGGTTGTCTTCTTCTGAATTTGTGTCTCAGTCTTCCCTGCCACTGTAGTAGCTTTTTATGGTCAAATTCCTTTTTGTTGTTTTTGCTTTCTCATCTTTTCAGCCTATTTCTTGACTTTACACTTTATGTTAAAATTGGGTTCTCCTCACCTGGGCATGGGAAGTCACTGACCCAAACTTCAGGCTTTTTTGCTGTTGTTTTCAGAGCTAGTTCTGGAAGGGGGGCTGCAAGTTTTTGGTGCTCCCCTGGGAGAGGTATAGTCACTGATACCCTGGTGGTTACTCTGATCTTTACCCAGGAAGTGACTCTGGTCACTAGACAAGTTCTAGCACTCTCTTTGCCTTGGAATGTGACCAGGGCCCCTGCTCCCTTGTACAAGACCCGCATTCCTCCTCTCCACTTTGGAAGTGCAACCCAGAACTTTATATAGGCAACAGAGTTGCCAATTAGTGGCAGTTATATCCAGTGCCAGCATAGGATTCCCTGTAATCTCTTTTCAAACAGTTGTCCAACTCCCTTACTGTCTCTAGGCTGGGAGCTCCCAAAGCTACCACTGCTGTTGCTGGGATCCCTTGTTGCTGCCATGTTTGTGAGTTCCAGACAGGCTTCCTACCTGGTGTCATAAACTTCTCCTGCTGACCTCCTAAGTTTTCTTAGGAAAAAATGTTTCACCCTGGCCTTTTGTTGGTTCTACCACTCCAAAATTTGATTCGAGGTGTTATTAAAATTGTTTGGAGGAAAATGTTGAAAGAGTTCAGCTGGGTTGCTTCTAATCTTCTATCTTCCACATAATCACTTTTTCCAGATGAATTAAAAGCCAGCTTTATTGCACCCTTGTTAATACTTTTCTCCCTATAAACTCCCTATTGGAAAGATACTTAATTATTTTATGTCTGATCAATGCCATTATACACAGCCTCTGAAAGCCTTTTCTTATGGAAAAAAAACATTTGTGGTTGGTTCACTTCCTGGATAAAGGTGATCTTTTTAAAAACAAGAACACATCTGAAGAGGGAAAGAAGAAATACAGTTTTTCAGGAGTGAGTAAAGACCTACTGGTAGCTGAATTCACCACTCAAGTCTTCAAAATATGTGCAAGTATATTTTGAAGCTTAGAGAATGTTAAGTTTTGAAGCAGTTTTAGTAAACTGATTTCTTTTGGCTGTATTTTGTTGCAGGTGCTTTCCTGATTCCATATGTGGTATTTTTTATATGCTGTGGAATACCTGTGTTTTTCCTGGAGACAGCCCTGGGACAGTTTACTAGTGAAGGTGGTATTACATGCTGGAGGAAAATTTGCCCTTTGTTTGAAGGTAAGTTTCAGGATCAATAATATATATGTGTGTGTGTGTGTGTGTGTGTGTGTGTGTGTATACACACATGTATATATGCATGATTATAGATTTGTACATGTATATGTGACTATACATATGTTTGTTGTGTATATTTATGTACGTTTTTTTTTTTAATCTGGTACTATGATTTCATCAGGGTTGGGAACTTTTAGATGGAAAGGCCATTTTACTGGTCTTTCATTCCTACATGGAGCCTACTAGTGTAGTCAGTAATTATAATCTTAGGGAATTGCCAGGGACTGAGAACTTAAATAACTTCCCTATGGACCTACAACTAGAATGTATCAGAGGCAGCTTGCTTGTACATTAGCTTGAGAGTTCACTTTGGATCTGGATACATGCATACATTTCTCTTTGTTTATATGTATGTAGTATATGTTTATCTATGCTCACATATAGACAGGTAGCCACATATGTGTGTGTACGTATTTAACATATATCTGTAAGCACATCTATGTTTGTTTCATTGAAAGCTTTACCTATCATTTCTTGTCATGCAAGAATATTTCATCCCTTCCATTTACCATAATTTGTTTAGCTATTTCCAAGTCAGAGAATAAATGAATTGTTTCTAGTCATTTTTGCTGTTATGAATAAGGCTACTGTTAGCACTTTAGCATAGATAGGTCTCTATTTCCCTTTACTGCTACTATATACCCTGATGATTGGGCAGGAGAAACAGATGGTATGAGACATAGGATTGAATGTTTCCTGACTCTAAAGAGATTCACAACCTTACTTTCTTGGGGAAAAGAATACTAAACTTAATGCCACCATAATAGTAGATGGTATTATCTTTTACATTTTTGTTTTCTGGCCCGCATTCCTTACCCCCATACCTAATGCCCATGTTCATAGCCAAAGCTCTGTTCTGTCAATGGATCCATTTCTTAGTACCTCTAACCATAGTTTTACTGTGTGTGCCTATTCCCTCCTGCTCTGTAGAGATGCCAGGCACATAGTGGGTACTTAAAAATTTCTTGAATGAATTAATATTATATGTGTGTATGTATATATGTGTGTGTATTTGTGTGCATATGGCTGTGCTATATGATGTATAAGTAATATTAAAGTTACTCCTCCCCCCAGGAGAGCTTAAGTTCTCCTTAAGAGTAGGAATTGTGCATAGTATCTTGGCTATAGTATGCACTTAATACATTTTTGTTGAATTTAATTGAACTGAATTGAATTGAAATTAAATAAGTTGACTTGAATCAAAAGTATGAAACTGAGAACCCTGGCTGGGAGCTTTGAAAAGGGTGAAAAGACTGACTGATTGAGATCTGTTTCTCATATTCCCTCCTCAGGCATTGGTTATGCAACTCAAGTGATTGAGGCCCACTTAAATGTATACTACATCATCATTCTAGCCTGGGCTGTTTTCTACCTATTCAATTGCTTCACCACGGAGCTACCCTGGGCCACCTGTGGGCATGAGTGGAATACAGGTAGGAGCCAGAAATCCTCTCTCAATGAGCCCAGTATAATTCCCTATTGGTGGCTGTGCTGGGATATGGTATAAACTGGAAAGCATCCAGAAGGGCATAAAACAAGATGGTGGAAGTCCTTGAGTTCACGTCATATAGAATGGGGTAAATTTAGCTAGAAAAAGATAAGATGAGGGGGGGAGAGGCATGATTTCTTTTTTCAAGTATTTAAAGGATTGTAACATGGAAGAGGGATGAGACTTCTTATGATTTGTCTCAAGGGGCAGAAATTGGAGCAATGTGAGGGAGTTGCATTGGGGCAAATTTCAGTTTCACAGAAGGAAAAACTTTCCCATGATTAATGCTGTTAAAAATGGAAATTCTTGGGAAATTGTGGGCTCCTCCTTACTTGGAATCTCTAAGCAATGACTGGGTGAACTCTTGTCTAGCATATCATAGAGTGGATTATTTTTCTAGTATAGATTAGAATAGATGATGACTGAAGCTTATTTCAATGCTGGGATTTCCTAATACTGGATGAGGAAATACATTCTTAGATGTCCTGAAGGAGGCAGTGCTTAGGGGGAATCTTGAAGAAGTCAGGGGAATCTGAGAGTCAGAGTTTGTTACAGAGAACATGCCAGGAATTGGGGACAACCCATGAAAAAGCATAGGGAGGGGAAATGGTGCATCAATTGTAACATCAAGTTGGCCGGTATGTGGTACATGGAGGAGAGTAATGTGTTAAATTATTTGAAAGGGTCCAGGTCATAAAGAGCTTTAAATACAAAATACAGGACTTTGTGTTTGATCCCTGAAGTAACTGGGAGCCATTAAAACTGATTGAGAAGGGAGGTGGCATGATCAGATCTGAGCTTTAGCAAAATCACTTTGGCAGTAATGTGAAAGTTGGACTGCAGAGGAGAATGACTTGAGGCAGGGAGCACAATTGGAAATCAATTGCAATAGTCCAGGCAAGAAGTGGAGAAAGCTTCAATTGGGGTGATTTCTACGGGAGTAGAGAGAAGGAGATGTTTGCAAGAGATATTGTAGAGAAGATCTACAACTAATTGGATACGTGGGATGAGTGAGTGGGGAGAGATGCGGATGGCACCAAAATTGCACCTAGGGACTGGAAGGAAGGTGATACCATTGACAGTAACCAGGAAGTTTGGAAGAGGGGAGGGGTTTGAGCTCTGTTTTGAGCATGCTGAGTTTAGGATACTCATGTGACCTTCAGTAGAAAATGTCTAGGGGAGAGTGGAAATACAGTGTTTCAGGAGGTTAGCCATGGTTGGAAATAGATCTGGAAACTATTTGCACAGAGAAGACAACTGAATCCATGGGAACCATTGAGATCAAAGTAGAGAGAAAAGAGAAGAGGGAGTAGGCTTGAGTGGATAATGATCCAGGATCATAGATTGAAAAGGAATAGTTAGAGAAGAGACAGAGAGAGAAGAAAAGAGGAAGAGAGACAGAGGGGAGAGACAGAGACAGAGAGGGAGAGACAGAGACAGAGAGAGAGAGACAAAGAGAGAAGAAAAGAGAGAGGGAGGGAGAGAGACAGAGGGAAAGATAGACAGGGAGAGAAAAAAAGAGAGAAAAGAAAATATGGAGAGGGGAGAGAGAGAGAAAGAGAGAGAGAGAGAGAGAGAGAGAGAGAGAGAGAGAGAGAGAGAGATGGGCACTGTCCAAAAGACCATCAGGAAGTTTATGAAGAAGATCTTGCTCCGCACCGTCTATTGCTGATGGTGAGGGAGTTGGAGAGCTTTCTGGAGAACTCAATGATATCCTCCAGATTAAGTCAACATATATCTTAATTACTCAATGACTTCATTGCAATGATGAGCATAGGAGAGGATGAAAAATACATTGGGAAAATATGGTTCAAAGTTAAGAAATAGAAGAGGAAAGAAGGAAACAGTCATTTATTAAGTACCTATTCTGTGCCAGGCACTGTGCTCAGTGCTTTATAATATCATTTCATTTGATCCTCACAAAAACTCTGGGAGGTACGTGCTATTGTTATCATTCCCATTTCACAGTGGAGGAAACTGAAGCAAACAAAGGTTAAATGACTTTCCCTAGAATATCCAAGGTCAGATTTGAACTCAGGTCTCCCTGACTTCAGGGCAGCTAGGTGGTGCAGTGGATAAAATGCCAGGCTTGGAGTCAGGAAGTCTCAGCTTTGTGAGTTCAAATCTGGCCTCAGCCACTAGGTATGACTCTGGGGAAGTAACTTAACCTTGTTTGCCTCAGTTTCTCATCTGTAAAATGAGTTGGAGAAGGAAATGGCAAACCACTCCAGTATCTTTGCCAAGAGAGCCCTAAATGGGGTCACAAAGAGTTGGACGTGATTGAAAATGACTGAACAACAGCTTCCTGACCCCAGGCCCAACACTATATCCAGGCCAAAACCTTATTGGTTATATAAAAATGACACATCTATATATTACAAATATGTTATTGGAGAAAATACGCTTCCCTTAAGGACTTTAAAATGGTTCATTCCCACCCCATACCTTATATGCAGTATGGCTGAGGATGTGGGAAGAGAATTAATACCATCTGGAGGTGTGTTTCTTCCAGCTCCAAGATTTTGACAGTTAATTTCTAGAGGACCTATGGAGAATTTATGGGAGAACATAGGCATGAGTCCCACAGGATGGGCAAGAATGAATTGATTGTGACCTGTGGCGTTGGAAGAAATAGCCACATCAATGAGATCATAGGTCCATTTGAGAGCATTTGAGGCTGCATTCCATTTCTCAAAATGGTTGAAAAGTGCTGGGCATGGTGAGAGCTGAAAATCATCCAAAAAAGAGAAATCGACCATATTTGATAAGATGGATAAAGGGGGAAAAAACCTTGTCACAGATATGGAAGTCATTCCCAAATCAGCTAGCAACAATTGTACAATTCGACCATTAGGTTGCTAGAAAGAAGGAAAGAGACAAACATTTCTTAAGTACCAACTAGTTCAGGCACTGTGCTAAGCACTAAAACAAAGCAAAGCTAGCACTAAATTGGAAGAGAAGATTAAGATGAGAAACCACAGAGGGAAGGCAGAAGTTTCATCTGGCTTATTTAAACAAGCTATTTAAAACAAACAATGGGAAATTCCTAAAGAAAAATAAATCAGTGGGTATCATCCCAATTTCCTCTGGAAGTTTACCTGAGATAAAGCAATTATCACAAAGGAGAGGCCAAAAGCAAGTTTGTAGACAGCTTGGTGCCAAATCTAATTAAGTTAGGCTGTCCCAATGAAAATGCTGCCTGCAGTATATGCAGTCTGAACATCTCGGCTCCCTACCTGCTGTGTAAAGAAATGTAAGTGGTGCTAAATAAGGCAGGCCAAGTGGAGCAGCTCCCCAAAGGTCGTTGCTACTGTAGTAGAAGATTTTCAGTGAAGAAATGCCCCTACATTGAGGATGCTCTACAGTGGCTTCTGATGGGAGATGACATCGTATTGATTGCATCAAGCCCAGGAACAGGAGAGAACCTCATAGATAAGACCCCCCAAACACTCTAAAGCAGAGACTCCGCATTTTGTGTATCATGGATCTCCTGGGCAATCTGGTGAAGGAGCTAATGGATCCCTTCTTAGAGGAATGTTTTTAAATGTGTGAAAGGAAATCCATAGTACTGCAAAAGAAACTGATTATATTGAAATAGTAACCAAATATTAAAAAAAATAAAAATCAAGTTCAAAGAATCCCATGCTAAGAATCTGTAGTCTAAGGAGTTCAGGCTAACAATCCATACAAGAAAAGTGGGTGAAGGGACAGCTAGGTGGCACAGTGGATAGAGCACAAGCTCTGGAGTCTGGAGGACATGAGTTCAAATCCCACCTCAGACAGTTACTAGCTGTATGACCCTGGGTAAGTCACTTAACCCTGATTTCCTCTGGGGAAAAAAAAATTGGATGAAGATAGCAACTGCCCAATTGAAGTAGTCCATTGATTTGTATGTCTTCTGTAGACACTACAAATGGACTTTGGAGCCGAGAACAGATTTTAACAGAAGAGAGAGGGCTGGATGACACTTGGCAAATTGAATAGCATTTTTAATGAAGCCAAAGTGCTTGCTCTCTTTGGAGGTACCTTGGTGCAATCAAAATAACAATGGGTTTGGAGTCAGAGGAGCTGAATTCAAATTCTCACCTGGTATACTCCTTGTGTGACATTGAACAGCTCACTAACTTGTCTGGGCATCAGTTTCCTCATCTGTATAAGGTGGGGAGGAGTCTGGGCTAGATCACATCTCCTGCTCTAAATCTATGACTCCATAATTCTATAATGAGATGATCTCTCCAATTTCTTCCAGCAATAAGTCTTCAGTTCCGTAATGTTGGTTGATGGATACTTGATTCTCTGGACTTGGAGTGAGAAGATCTGAATTTGTATCCTAGTTCTGCTACTGACCAGCTGTGGGTCCTTGGGAAAGTCACCTAGCCTCAATGAGCTTCAGTTTCCTCATCTATAAAATGCATCAATTGATTCAAGTTCAGTGTTCTTCCCACTATATTACACAGTTCAGTGAATCCCAATTCTAAGTAGCCCCATTGCTGACTGAGACAATCACTGCTTGGAGTCCACATGCTTTCCTGGAGTGCGTTGTCCTGGTTAATATTTTATTGTTCCGTCATTTCAGTTATGTACAACTCCCTATGACCCCATTTGGGGTTTTCTTGGCAAAGATACTGAAGTGGTTTGCTATTTCCTTCTCCAGCTCATTTTACAGATGAGGAAACTAAGTCAAACAGGGTGAAGTGACTTGCCCAGGGTCACACAGCTAGTAAATGTCTGAGGCCAGATTTGAATTTACTAAGATGAGTCTTTCTGATTCCAAGCCCAGTGCCTGATCCACCACACCACCTAGCAGCCCTGTATAAATGCTACTTATTACTGTTATTATTGTTGTTGATCTCATGTGCTACCTCCTACACAAGCTGTTTGTCCAGTTTCCTTCTTGAACTTAAATGATTTGACTTAATATATATCTTGGATTTATTTACTTACTTGTGTATATGTTGTACATGTATGCTCCTTGAGGGCAGGGACTGTTTTACTTCTGTCTTATATCCCCAATCCTAACATAGTGCCTAGAAATGAGTAGGAACTTACACAGATTATTGAATTAAATTGAATTCAGTTAAACATAATGGCACAGTCTCCTTTGTAGTCAGGTTGCTTAGAGTGAGGAACCTGGTAAAATGGCCCCACTTTGTCTCTGACCCTCCTCCCCCACCCTGGTGCCTTCCCCTCACTGAAGCCAATACTCTTTACAGGATCACTGTTTGGTTTCCATTGCAGATCGCTGCGTGGAGTTCCAGAAGCTGAATATGAGCAACTGCAGCCAGGTGTCCCTCCAGAATGCCACCTCACCCGTTATGGAATTTTGGGAGTAAGTGTGACGGAGAAATCCCTTCCCCCTTTCCCTCCGGGAATGTTTCATCTCAGCATGTTTTGAAAATAAGGGAGCCAGCTCATCTGGACTTATGGAGCTCATAAGAGCCCCACTACCTCTTCTGGGCTTCAGGTCCAAATACCCTTCTTTCTAGAGAAAATAACTCTGGTTTCCTGTTTATAGGGTTTTAACTGGAAGTCCAGGGTCTCAGATATTTGGTTTCTTCTTTCTCATTGATAAGCAGTATCATTGGGTGTTAAACTTAGAAGAGTTTAGTAAAATGTTGAGTATTTGTCTTTAATAGAAAACAGGAAGTCTAAAACATGCTCATCAAGGAGTATATTTATCCTCTAAAAGAGTCATAAATGGAAACCTAGATTCAGAGTGAGAAGATCTGGATTGGAATCTTGGCTCAGTGGTTCACTGTGACACTTTGAACAAGTCACATTACTTACCTGACACCCAGTTTCCCTATCTGATAAATATAATAGTTGGGCTAGATGACTTTCAAGGTCCCTTCTGACTCTAAAACCCTATGTACAAGTACCTGTAGAGAAGACTGTGGAGAGACACAATTACTGATTCCAAATACTTGAATTCCATGCAGAAGATGGCATAGACCAATCCAATCCAGTCAACTTATATCAAGTGTTAATTATTCACAATAATAATATTAGTTAGCATTTATATGTGGTTTAAGGTTTGTAAGGTACTTTACACATGCAAACTCATTTGGTCCTCACAACAACCCTTTGTGGTAAGTTTTATTATTAGTCCCATTTTACGAATGTGAAAACTGAAGATCACAGAGGTTAAATGACTTGCCCAGTTTCACATAGCTGGTGACAGGATCTGACGTAGGATTTGAACTCGGTTCTTGACCCCAAGTCCAATGATCTCTCTGCCATGCTACCTAACTGCCTCTAACAAGGCACTGTGGTAGGGATGCAAAAGGATGCAAAAACAAAAACAAAGAATGATCTTCATCCCTAATAAGTGTAGATTTGGGGGTTACGTTTTGATTTTATAGGCAGCTAGGTGATACAGTAGATAGAATGGAGAACATCAGGGAGGCATGAGTTCAAATCCTGTCTCAGATATTTATCTAACCCTGGGCAAGTCACTTAATCTTTGTCTGCATCTATTTCCTCATCTGTAAAATGGATGTAATAATAGTACCTACTCCCCAGACTGTTGGTGAGTATAAAATGAAATAATAATTGCAAAGCATTTTTCAAATCTTAAAGGGCTATAGAAATGTTAGCTATTATTTTTACTATTTCTTATTATTATCAACGTCATCATTATCTCAAAAGTTACACAAGAACCAACAGGTGATAATGTACAAAGAGGCAAATTTCAGCTGAAGATAAGAAAAAGATTTTGTAACAAGAGCTGCCAGAGGTGTAGTGGGTACCTATTAGTGAGGTATTCAAACAGAGGCAAAATAAACACCTTGTTAGGGCTACCTTACCCCACAAATCACTCCTAACTCTTTGTCTGGATGTTGCCCATGTGCTTTTCATCTATTAGCTACTATTATGATTATTTATATATTTTTCTTGTCTTTTCTATGTAGGGAACTTTGCAACATAAATTTGAGCTATTATAAACTCCTTGAAGACAGAGATTGTGTCTTATTTCTTCTTTATGTCCCCAGTTCCAAGCTCAGCACAATCTAGGTCTTCATAAACGTTTGAATTGAATTCACTGCTATAGAGATCCCGAGGCAGCAGAGTGTAGTGTGATAGCTACTGAATTTAGAGTCAGAGGAACTGGGCTTAAATCATTGATCTGCCACTCAATGCCAGTGTGATTTTTGGGCAATTCAATTAACCTGCCTGCGCATCAGATCCTTCATCTGTAAAATGAAATCGTTGTACTAGAATATTTCTCAATTACCTTTCAGCTCAAAGTCTCTGATCCTATGTTCCTCATTATTTGAAAGACTGAGTCTCTGAGGTCCCTTCTAATCATCAACATTGATTATTTTGTGAGTGCAGTTGACTGCTGATTGATCGTGTGCAGGAAACTAGAATTTGGTTCTTTCTCCTATGCTTACACTGATGAATAGTGATAATAAATGAGTTATGCAGCATTTATTAAGCACTTTGTGTGTGCCGTGCACTTTGCCAAACACTGCGGATAGCCCTTAAGGAGCTTACACTTCAGTGAAGGAAGCCACCATATAAAGGGGAGTGGGGAGGAGTGGCAACATGTGCATGGATGATGGTTTGGAAATGTCTGAGAAGTGATGTGGAAGCCTGATTCCAGAAACGACAAGGTGAAAGCTCACCTTTCTGTCCCAGAGGAAGAGTCTGGGCTCCAATATCAAGAGAGTGGAGAGGATGAGGACAGCCAAAGTAAAAAAGCATGGTTTGGAAACGACCAGGAAATTGTCAAAGCTCATTTATATAGCGGGTAATGATTTACAAATGCTTTACACAGGTCCTCAGATCTCTGAGAGGTTGGCTGTTCAGATACTATTGGTATTATCCCCATTTCACAGAGGAGGAAATGGAACATAGGTGCATTTAATGACTTGTCCAAGGACACTTGGTTAATAAGTATTAGATCTGGGTTGTCAGTCTAGATCTCCTGATTGTAAATCCAGTTGTCTTTTGTACACATTTCTCTGCCCCTCAGCAAAGATGGGAGGTAGTAGAGAGTCCATTGAACCTGGAAGGAGAGGCCTGGATTCAAATCCAGCACTTTACTAGCTGTGTTACCATGGGTAAGCCTCAGAGCCTCACTTTTCTCATCTGCAAAAAGAGGGGGTAGATAGTAATTCTCATTGTACTTACCCTGTTATAAAAATCAAATAAAATAATGAATAGAAAGTACTTTGCAAACTCTAAATTGTTATATAAACATCAGCTATTATTATTATTTTTATTATTTTTTCAAGACTAAATTTCCCTATCTCATCTATGATGGAAGTACAGTAACCACACACCAACCTGATGCCAATACTGAGGTCTGACCTGTGTCATTAAGCAGCCTGGTGGCCCTCCAGGGATAGGGGCTCACCATATTGATGTCAGACCTGATCAGCTTTAGCCCTATGGTAGTTCAGACTCCCAAACTCAAGTGACTCATAGCCCCTGCCTCCCCATAAGCAAGGATTACAGAAATGGGCCACCATGCCCAGCTCAGCTATTATTCTGGAACATAGATTAACTTAAAACATAGACTTCAAATAAAAATATAAAGGTAGGTTATATGACACCATAAAAAACTATCAGTTTCACGAGGGCAGTAGCCATCTTTCTCCCATCAGCTAGTATAGTGCTGTGTATACATTTGGTGCTAAATGTTTGCTGAATCTAATTGTGTTTGAGTGGAATGGGGAAAAATTGCAGGAGAGAGAATAGGGTGACTTTCAAAGGTGAGGTAGAGACAAAGCATTAACCCTAGCTTATGCTTTCTAAACTAATGAAAGTGGAATATATTGAAAGGTGGTCATTGTATATATGTGCATGTGTATATATCTCTGAGTGGGGAACAGAATAAGTATATTGAAAAGGAACACCAGGTAGCTAGGCCAAAGGAACCATCAGGAGCATCCCCCAGAGTCTTACATGTCCTCTTTTCCAAGCCACTTTCCAGGGCAGGAGTTCCCTCAACAACATCCCAGCCAGGTCTTCTGTTCTTAAATATGCTCAATGACGGAACATCCACAACCTTACAAGACCTCAGTTCTATTGTTGAGCAGGTCAACTTATTGCAAAGTCATATCTTATGGTCAGTCAATTGCTCAACCAATTAGCATTTATTTAGTGCCCTACTGTGTGCCAGAACCTGTGCTATATCTCACTGGAGATATAGAGGCCAAGATGAAATGATACTCGCCCTCAAGGAGTTTACATTTTATTGGGAGAGACAACATATGCTTACATGAAAAAATATGTCCTGGGAGACTATGGGTATGGAACGCTACATGTGTGGTCAGATGTTTTTAACTTGGTGATTAGTTTTGCTGAACTTTCTCTCTCCTCTTTTTTATTTATTTTTATTTTATTTATTTTTTACTTTATTTTATTTTTATTCTTTATTATGCTTTTTACTTATACTTATTACTTAATTACTTATATTATATTATATTATTATTTATATATTTTATATTTATATATTTATATAATATTTATATATTATTATAAATTATATTATATTTATATATTACATTATCTTATGTTATATTATGCTTATACTTATTACTATAATTACTTATACTTATTACTTAATACTCATTATGAGTATTGCTCTCTAGTAGAAGGACAGAGAAAAATTTAAATGATATCAAAATAAAATAGTAAGAACACTTATTTTAAAAGTAAGTATTTTGCTGTTTAGTTGCTCAGCCATGTCCAGCCCCTCATGACCCCATCATAGATCATAGTGCGCCAAGCCAGTCTATCCTCCACTAACTCTCAAAGTCTGTCCAAGCTCATGTTTGTTGCTTCCATTACACTATTCATCTCATCCTTTACCATCCCCTTTTCCTTTTGCCTTTAATCTTTCCCAACATCAGGGTCTTTTCCAATGACTTCTGTCTTCTCATTATATGGCCAAAGTATTTAGGCATCACCTTTAGTATTTGAACGTCCAGTGAATAGTGCATATTTTTTTAAGTATTGACTGATTTGGTCTCCTTGCTGTCCAAGGGACTCTCAAGAGCCTTCTCCATCACCACAATTTGAAACTATCAGTTCTGTGGCACTCAGTTTTCCTTATAGTCCAACTCTCACACACATGCATCACTACTAGGAAAAAACCCAGAGCTTTGACTTTGTGGGCGTTTGTCAGCAAAGCGATGTCTCTGCTATTAGTATGCTGTCCAGATTTATCATAGCTTTCCTTCCAAGGAGCAAGTGTCTTTTAATTTCATGGCTGCAGTCACCATCTGCAGTGATTTTTGAGCCCAAGAATATAAAATCTAATACTGCTTCCATTTCTTCTCCTTCTATTTGCCAGGAAGTGATGGGACCAGACACCAA